GGGGCACCTGGGTGGCTCAGTCGTTGGGCATCTGCCTTCGGCTCAGGTCATGATCCCAGGGTCCTGGGATCGAGCCCCGCATCGGGCTCCCTGCTCCGTGGGAAGCCTGCTTCTCCCTCTCCTGCTCCCCCTGCTTGTGTTCCTTCTCTCGCTGTGCCTCTCTCTGTCAAATAAATAAATAAAATCTTTTAAAAAATAAATAAATATAAGCAATTGTAGAATAAGTTAATGTCATCTGCCACTGTTTTAGCAGAGGACGTAAATGGTGATTCAGTCATTCTTTTGGTTATGTTGGTTTCCTCCTCCGGCGTGTAAGCTCCCTGAGGGTGGACTGTGTGTGTCTTCATTCACCCCTCCTGCGCCCGGCAGAGTGCTTACACCATAGCAAGTTCTCCCTGCCCAGTATTGACGGGATGACATAGTTCCCAAACAAAATGTAAGTCATGTAGCCAATTAATTTCATCTTCTGGAAGAGTTTTGAAAAGAGCTACCGTTCCATGGTCAGGTTAATTTGTGTTGTATTTTATTTATTTTGGAGGGAAAAAAATCCGAAGAATCTGGAGGCTTAAAAAATGTTATTTCTTTTAAATCTGTGCTTTGGAAAATCTCAAGAGGCCCTTCCTTCCCCTTGGTATTAAACAAGGCCAATGATATTACCAAGCTGAAGCTAAACTGGCATGAATTATTCAGAGCAGCAGGAAAAGCAGCTGCTCATCTTCTCCGTCCCTAATTGTGAAGGGTGGAGAATTGGAGGGCAGTAGTGACAACACCGGGGCGGGGGGCGGGGGGAGAAAGACAAATTGGTGCCCTAAACCTCATAAGCTCTAACATCTGTAGCACTGTGTTTCATGTGGCAGCAGTGGCCACAGTCCTGCCGTAGGGAACAAGGGCAGAAGTTGGGAGGGATCCTAGGAAGACCTGCTTGGGCAGAGAGAGATAGGACAGGAGAAGGGAACAAGGAGGTGAGGAGGAGGGGGGAGAGGGATGGGGAGGGAGAGGGAAAGACAGGTGGTTCCAACCCTGGAAGGCAGGAGGACAAATTCCAGTTGAGGATCTTCCTGTCCAGAGAATGACTCAAGGGAATATACAAAATGTAGACATGCGTATGAAGAAAAGTAATTACAGATTAAAACATGTGGTGATGTCGTCAAAGTA